TTATCGTTGATAAAATTTAGATTTAAGTTACGGCCAAGTTTAAATGGGAATGTTGCGGCGGGAGACTGTGAACATTTTCCGCCGACTGTGCCGCAAAAAGAGAGGGGGCGCGGCCGACGCGACGCTGGTCGCCGTCGCGCGACATCTGCAATTAATTTTTCAAAGGCATTACGGTAAAATCGCGAGCGTCCGGTGGCAATGTTTGCGCGCGACCGGCAAAAGGAAAAGGCCACAATGGCCGGGCGCGTTCGTTTGCTTTAACGCCCGCTGCCTTCTAATTAAACCGACCACCGAAAACGAGAAATTGCAAGCAGGCGTTTTTTTTTTCCGAGGCCGACGCGCACGACCGGTCAGCCACAAGTCGGCAGTCGACGGCGGAAAAAAAATGGCAGGGAGTGGTCGAATGGGTCGCGACTAATTAACTCCGATTGCATTAATTGAAGGGTCTCGTGTGAAGCTCGTCCGGCTCGATTTTAGCAAACTCCGGGTAAAATTGAATGAAATTCGCGCGATGGAGGCATCGGAATTGCACAACAAAATATTAATACGATAACGCGCAACTTCGCGTAACTTTTTAAGCATTTTATTTTTATTTTTCTCCCCCCCCCCCTCCCCAGGGTTTCTGAACAATGCATTCGTACAATTTTCAACTTGCATGATTGAAAACTCCCGGTTAATTTTTCGCGATTTTCGCCGTTCGTTTCGGTCAGTTCTATTCGAGCTGAATTATCGAAGAGAAATTAACGGCATTTTTCGACCATTTTCGAGAGAGATGATGAAATTAACGTGCGCTTTAATTGCACTCGACTCACGGCACCCGACACCTGCAAGGTCCTCTCCTCCGTGGAACGTAATTTCGCGGAGGGCTGACGCGCATCGTTGAAGATCGGCGATCCCGTAAGTAATAATTATAGCGGAGGCACAAAGCGGATCTCGAGAGCCTCGCGGCGCACTTCTCGCGATCCAATCCCACGTCATCCCCTTAAAATCCTTTTGTTGACCCCGATAATCCGGTCGGTGGACGTGGCCGGGCCGGCATCTCGCGCGACACTCTGCTTTTTCTTTTTCCAAAATTTTATTACCATCTTTGTCCGTGGATTTTATAATCTCTTTTCACATCACAGGGTCGGAGAGATATCGTTAACTTTCCTGACTACAGCGTCGCTAACACGGGAATGTCTCCTATATTACTAGAATACTATTACTAGAATACAAATTCTCCTATTGAACACGGGATGTATTCTGAAAGAGAAAGAAAAAGAAAGAGAGAGAGAGAGGAGAATGTAAAAATCTCGCCAATTATCTCTAAACAGATTAATTCGTTTTCGGAAAATTCGACAATGTGTTTGAGCGAGAGTGAACGATTCAATCGTCACAGAAATTAAACACACTCGCAGCTCAATTGACTCTCGCGATCGACATCGCGACAACCAGGATGAATCCGTTTTATTTTCTTGTTTTGGTGCGTGTCATCGAGATACGTTTCATTCTCACCGCACGATACCCAATATGTCACTATTCATGACCGAATATGAGATGTCTAAAGCTGGATATACACTGAGCGAACGAACAACGAATAAATAGCGCATGTGTAATACGAATGTGTACATTCGCGTCTAAATGCGCACGAACTTTCTTTGATAAAACACCTCGCGAGCAAATCGTTCGGCAATCTTCTGTTCGGATTCATTGTGGCGTACACATTTTCCAAATTGTAACAAACGTTCGCTGTTCGATGTAAATTTTTGAAGGGACATATATATGTCTCACCGAAGGCACGAGAGGGTTAAGAGTGAGGCACGCTCGAGTCATGCGTGGTCGAATCCGCGATCGCGCGTGACTTTCACGCCGAATGCACGAAACGCGCGAGACGACAATGGACGCGACAACAACACTCGTCGACGGCGGCGACGTTAATTCGCCCGGTATGTATTTCTTTCCTGCCATTCCTCTTCCATGCCGCGGTCATTCGCCGACGCAGATTGAAAAAGCAGTCACATTATAAATAATTTAAATGCATTGCTCGAGAGCAAAAAGTGAGCGCGACAACTCGGCGACGGTGCCGGCAAAATTGATACGACACGCATATATATATACTCGACCTGCTCGTTCTTCGCGAACCTCGGCTCTCCACGGTCAATACATTCTCTGCTGCCTTCCCCCCTCCGTGGGCAAGTATATCCCCCGTGCTACGGATTTTATATATTTATTTATTTTGTGCAAGCTCTTCCTCGTACACACGCGCTTTTCTTTGTCCACCTTTCTTCGCATCGTCGCGTAAATCCGCGTCGGGGAAACGAAAGCGCTCTCTCTCTCTCTCTCTCTCTCTCTCTCTCTCTCTCTCTCTCTCTCTCTCTCTCTTTGAACTGAAATTTCTGGATTGTATTTACTATTAATAATTGTTATTTTTTTCTGGTTGATTGTAGATTTTAAAGGGATTTCACCGATCGAATATTGATTCTTTTCTGCAAAGTTTTATTGATTGTACAGAATTACGAATGCTTTTTCACAGTGAAAATATGAAAAAAAAGTGGAGCATCGCCTATAATATGTGACAAGAACGATAAAAAATTTCCAAACCGACATCTCCAGCTGTTGTATAAAACTTTTTTATTGTGCAGGTATTCAAAACGTTTAAAATCTCGTGCCGTTTCTATAACTCTAAGGGAGGTATAACTTTAAGGATAAAATATGCTCTACTCTCTTGCAAATTCTGATCTTCCTTCCTTTCTTGCTTCTCCTTATCTCTGTGAATCAGAAAAGGTCATTACCGGTGTCGACCGGTGAAAGCTTTTTATATTTTTCTTTTTATCGAGTCTTATCGTTTCTTCGCTGAAGAGAAAACGCGCGCGCGCGAGAGAGAGCACCGACAATGCGATAGATGACAGAGGTCCGTCGGTAGTTCTTTCTCACGGGAATAGATAAATGCGTCGCGATTTCGCGGCATATTCCGCGATAGTCGTCGCAAAAAGTTTACGACTCTATCGAAAGGGCGCGCAATATGGAAACGAACGGGTACACGCAGCGGAACGGGACGGGACGTGAAAGGGGACAGCGTAGCGGAGAAAATTACGAGCGGAAGAAACCGTACAACATGTACACGTATCGTCGATCTGGCGCATGAAAAGGAACTCCTTTCCTCAATTCCGCCCGGCTCCCTCGAAGAATCCTAATCTCCCGGCGCGGCGCGCGCAGATGTAACGGACGTCGCCTTTCTCGCGCGCGCACGCGAGTGCGCGCTCCGTTCCTTCCGTCTCCTCCTTTCTTCGGCTGATACACGACGAAGGCAGTCGGCGGGATAGGGTATAGATGGTCCCGGCACATCGGGATCTCCGAGATTACTACCCCGGAGCCTAATCAGCCAGATTGCCTGCAATTTGCCGTCCTTATCTCGGTACGACGGCCCCGTCCTCCTACGCGAGTCCCTCTCTCTTTCTCTCTCTCTCTCTCTTCTTTTCTTGTTTTCTTTCTCTCTCTCTCTCTCTTTCTCTTCACTTGCGCTTCTGCGAGCAATGGGTCTCCCCATGAAAGACCAGCCTCGCGTCACCGACGAAGGAGGGCTTCGCGAAAGAATACCTCTTCCTTCGTCGGATCTAACTTACGGCGCGCGCGGGAATCTTCGGCGAATTACACGGGATTTAGGTGAATTGGCCTTCCACGTTGAGACGAGGTCAAAAGAAGAGACCAGAGAAAAAGAGAGAGAGAGGGGGGCGAGAGAATCGCCCGTAAGGCGTCGTCGGAAATTGCAGCGAGTTCAAATAAGAAGTTAGGGGTAGTCGCACGCGCGGTACGATCTCTTTGTACGCGATAGAAGAAGCGCGATAACTTCGAGCATCAATATCCATCGATGGATAGGTGTGAGTATTGTTGATGCAGGAGATCGGCGAAGGGCGACTTACTTGCTCGCGGAAATTAGAGTCCAGATTGTTTCGCGATTGTACTTTCACAGGAAGAATTAACCATACGAATTAAAATCTAGCTGTGGAGCTCGGATTCATGTGTCGATAAAAAAATCCGGTGAAAATCGCGTCGAAATCATGTGAAAATCATTGGCCGATTTAATATTTTTTAAGACTTCATCGCGATATCTAGAAGATACGATAGGACTGATTTTAACACAAGTACAAATTACTTCTTATTGCGTAATTGATAATTTCCGTTGTCACTATGCTCATTAAAAATTTTCTATATTACATCATTTAGTCGATTGATATAAACGTGTTTCATATTGCCTATATATGTTATAACCAGTGACGGAACACAGCTGAAATCAACCTTAACTATTCATGCTAATAATTTCATCCGATAAAGTTGTACTTCGCAATAAATACATTTTATCTCTAATGGCCGACTTTTAGCAATGACAGCAAAGTTCGAACTAGCTAATGAAATTCAACCGCTATTACTAATTCTCTGAGTGTACCGCGGCGATTTCGCTCTAGACCACTTTTGCCGAAAAGTCGTTTATTTATTAATCAAGAACGGGCGACTGTGCGAGCACAGGTCAGTGGATCAGAGTCGAATTAATCGGCGGGCCCCTGTTTTAATGGTCACTAATTTCGTAATTAATTGTTATTAATTAATTGTTTAGCAATTAATTACCATTAATTGTCCTATGATCAGTACTCTAATTATCTAGTTACTTCTCTATTTGCACTTATTAACCATGGGTCGCAAATAGAAGCCAAATAACGAGGCGCTACACCTTGTTTGCCGATGCGATTTGCGCAACGATTAACCTCGTAAATTATCTATGAGTCGCAAAAAGAAAGAGAGAGAGGGTGGGGGG